CCCACACCCACACCCACACCCACACCCACCCACACCCACACCCACACCCACACCCACATCCACACCCAATTCGGGAACGTAATGGTATAACATCATAACAATCAATCTACTTAGCTCCTCCACCAAGATCACTATATCTTCCTCCTCCACCAGTGTCACTTTATCTTCCTCCTCCACCACAATCAATCTATATATCTTCTTTATCACAATCAATGCATTTACCAGCTCCACCACATTCAATATATTTACCTCCTCCACCGCAATCATTCTATTTACCTCCTCCATCAGAAACATTATGAAAGAAAGAATGTTATGAACATGATATTCCTTCTTTTTCTTTGTTTTTGTTTTTGCTTGTTATTGTTGATATGAAAGTCCATTTTTTCCAAGTCATTTCTTTTCAATGATTATAGATTTTGCTATATTAGTTAATAGTAGCTGTAGATGATATGACTTTTGAATATCTTCAAGATTATTTTTTAATTATATTGTTATCTGTTGCTGCTACTGAAAAGTGCAAAGAATGTAAAAGGTTTTATTACAGAACGTAATGGCAATGGTCATAGAAAGATAAAGTTTTACGATAGCTACATAATCGTTATTCTTTTCTTTACAATATTCAAAATGAACGTGGTAATTATCAGATCAACATCAGATCTTCCTTATTCTCATTCTCATAAATCGATCATATTCATTGTTTTATTTATTTTTCCATCCATGTTTCTTTTCAGTTTCATATATCGTGATAATCATCTTTGTTCTAATCTACGCTAGATATATAGCCTTGAAGAATATTCTCTTTTAAAAGATAAGAAATGCGTCAGCGAAGCAAAATTCTGCATTTATCTTCAAAGAAAATCATTTTCAATTCATTTCGACAATATAATCGGTTACTAAAAAGCAAAAGTTGAGAATAGCAGATTGATTTATATCTCAGATATACAAATTGATATGTTTTAGATTAATTTACGGAAAATCAACCAGATTCAAATATCAATAAAACAAACATCATTACAATTATCTTCAGGTCGTGGTCGTATTTTTCGGGGTGGTCATCAAAACTATTCTTATTTTAATGGCGGCCGTTGGTGTTCTTATGGGAATAAGAATAATTGCAATCATCGTCTTTCTTATTCTCCTCATCGTTATGATAATCATCGACGAAGTTATAATAAACGTAATTATCGACCATCACCACGGCGTCATTCAAATAATTATCGTGCCAATAATTATGGTCGTCATAATTATGAGTCTGATGATAGTGACGATAGTTTTATGGACGAACCACGACGACAATTCCATACATTATGTCCACGATCAAATGAAAGCCGATCACGTACTCGTTCTATTCATTCTGAATCAAATAATGTTTCCAGTTATATTACACAACAACGACAGCAATTATCATGGAATACAAATCATCGAAATAAAAATAAGACCAAGAATAACAATAATACGAAACCAATTCATCCTTATCTTCAACGAAGTCAAATATTAAAATGGTTTAAATTTAATGCAACACAGCCAATTGATATTAATTATGATCCTAGTGGTGCTGCTTTTGTTTTGAAAGCAACGTTACTTCATGATGCTTTGGCTCGAAATAATTATGAATATGATCTTTGGAAAGCATATTTAAAAATGGGCAAAGAAAATAGATATTGGTCAGAAGAAGTTCTTCAAAATACAAAAACACATGATTATCATACAAATATTAGATTTATACAATCGAAACTAAATCAATTAGCTTATAACATTATTGAACTCGACGATGACATCGAGGATGCCACAGATAAATTAAGAAATAATTGGGCACAAGATTCTTTTCATCAATTATGTGAAACAATACGTGAACACTTTAGAATAGATATACCAGGAGTAACAAAAGAAGAAAAGAATCCTATTGATCGATTAGAAGATGATGTAATGAAATATATCAAACATTGTACTCAATATACAAGAGACATCGTTGAATCAAAAATCCAATTATCAAAAGCTGAAATGGAACGTTTCAAAATTTTATAATATTTCTTAAATAATCAGACTATTTTATTGTTTATCTCTATTTGCTTGTTCCTATTCACTTGAATATCTATATATAAAATAGCCATCCTCGATTTTCTCTCTTCTATTGTAGATATATGCATCTCTTGCCCTGAAGAGTACTATCTTATCAAAGATACGAAACGCGTCGGCGAAGCAAATTCTGCATTTATTCTTAATTAAAAGCACAACATTTATATTTAAAATATTATTTCGACAAAAATATCGGTTGCTGAAAAGCAAAAGTTGAGATCAGCAGATTGATTTGTATTTTAGATATACAAGTTAGTCTGTTATACAATTGATTTACGCTTATTATTATTATATCAGGCATCAAATTATTCTTTGAATTATATTACTATTCTAATTTGATCCATTGATATTTCAACTTATTTTAACGATTCATATGTCGACAATAACTCTTAATAATCCTAATAATCTAACACCACAACCACCACAACAACAACAAGGATTTCATCAATGTCATGCATGTGGTTGTGGTGTTTTGGGGGGCAATCAATCTGATAATTATGGGGGCAATCAATCTGGTAATTATGGAGGCAATCAATCTGGTAATTATGGGGGCAATCAATCCAGTAATTATGGAGGCAATCAATCTGGTAATTATGGGAATTACAGGAATAATGCACGTCCAAATTATCAAAGTAGTCGATCGAATTATCCAAATCATTTTAATAGTCAAAATCGAAATGGTAATTATCGTTCACGTTCCCGTTCTCCATATTACAATTCTGGTCGCCGTTCTTATCAAAAAACTTATTATAATAGAAATTATCGACCACAACGGCAACAACAATATAATAATAATCGTCGTGGTTATTATCGTGGTAATTTTCGTAATAATTATCAAAGACAATATCATCAACCACATCCAATAACAATGGGTGACTTTCTACCACAACAATTACAAAATGGTCAAAATATTCCATCACATACTACGAATGATATTTCTGCTAATGTATTACCACAACGGCCACAATTTGCTAATAATAATACTACACAACCTTTTGTGGTACAGCAAGATAATCAAAATAATCAAATTCAACCACAAGGTCAACAACAACGAACTAATACTACATCATCTCATAGACGTCGAGAACGTCGCCGACAACAGCAGCAATATCGTAAAAATAAAATTATTAATAATAATAATAATAATAATCGATTTGCTATACTTGCCGAAGAACAACAATTTACTGATGATGAAGAAGAAAATATTAATTATGATAATCAAATTAATAAAACGAATAAGAAAAATAAGAAAAATAAAACAAAAATTCGTTCTTATCTTAATCATAATCGTATTTTAAATTATTTCAAAAATAATGAAAATATACCAAAAAAATTTAGTGATTTATTGCAAGATAATAGAGCGTGTGATGGTGTTGAAAATTTTCTTATTAATTCAGCTCCTGTTTATGATGAACAGATTAGAGCAGAATATGAATTACAAGTATGGAGAAATTATTTAAAATTAGGCAAAGAATATAAACACTGGGCCAAAGAAGTTGTTCAACGTACGAAGAAACGTGATGATAATATAAATATACGTTTTGTTGATAAAAAAAGTAATCAATTATCATCAACAATCCATCAAACACGTGCAACAATTTCTAGATTAGAAATAGAATTTGGTGATTATTGGACACAAATAGCACAACGTAAAAATTATGTAAAAAATGTTAACACAACAGTTCAAACAAGTACAGATTTTAATACTACTACATCAACGTCTACTCGTATTCCACGTCTTGCTTTTGATATTGATCAATTTGGAAAGTTAATATCAAATTATATTGAAGATTGTTTAAAACATGTGAAAAAAATGTGTGATAGACGTATCTTATTAGCTAAAGCACAAATGGAAGAGTATAAAGCATTAGAAGAATTTGAAAAAATCTCTACTGCACCACATAAAATTATCCATTTAGTTTTAAAGCCTAAAATGAAGATATGGTCTATTAAAAATAAAAATTTTCATATGACACAAAAACGTCTTCAATCTAATTTACTCCCAAAATTTATTACAAAAAATGATTTATCGTTTAAAATTGATGAATCGATATTAAAACAAGATGATATACAAATTATATATAATGATATGCAGCAGATAAAAAATGAATTTTATAGAAAAAGTATGGAATTATATTCTAGCGTAGCTGCTAGTGAATTTGATATAATAAAAAATGAAATCGAGAAAATTATTGAAGAAAATCGACCTGATACACTTTTTATTACTCGAAATGATGATAATGTAAATTTAAATGATGCGCAGCAGCAAAGTCAAGATTATAATAAAGAAGAAAAAAGTTATGCTGCCTTTGAACATTATCATCAATTACGTATTAAACGTTTAAATTTAGAAGCCGAACAATCCTGTTATTTTTTAGAGGTAGAAGAAGTCAAGGACGAAATGGACAATCTGCAACAGCAACAACAACAAGAAGATATTGCCCCGACTCATTTATTATCGGTCCAAATATAATTAATGAAGCAACACAAATGAAATTAACTGAAGAAGAATATCAACTATTAAATTTACGCCCTCGATTTATTTTCAATGATCTAAAAACAGCTGCACAACGACGTACAACTGAGTTGGCTACACTTCGAAGAAAAATAGAAACTCGATTTTTCGAGAAAAAGGTTAGCCCCGGTCGTCCAGTTCAACAATTTATTGCTGAATTAGATACTCTTCTTCAAAATCTTCACAATAGTTCGTCTTCTATTACTACAAATTGTCGTCAAATAACAAGTCAAAATACTTCTATTACTATTCCAAATGATCTTATTATTTCAAGTCAGCCTCAGATGAATATTCGGTTGATTAAAAAGAAGAAAAATTATCACCGATTAATTAAAAGATTGAAATATAAATTTCGATTGACAAATACGATTATAAGAAAAACTGATAAATCAAAAGTATTCCATCTGGGCAAATTAGAAAATTATGAAAAAGGATCTAAAGAATATATGAATAAAACTAATGCTTATGTATGCCTTGGTACTGATGATTCATTACCCGATTTAGTTCAACGTGCTAATCAATATTTATTAAATCTACATCTAGCTAAATGGATTACACAAAAACAATATGAGCAATTATGTATTAAAGTAGATGAAGTTGAAATAGCTCATCTATATTACTTACCAAAGGCTCATAAAGCAGGAACTCCTCTTCGGCCAATTATTTCAGATCTAAAACATTCAACAATAAAGATTTCCAAGTTTCTTGATGATTTATTACGACCATTATTTGATAAAATGGCCTCTAACACAACTGTTACATCTGGCTTTGAATTAGTCAAAAAATTACAAGAATGGTCACAACTTAATATAAAAAAAGAAACTGTATTATGTACAATTGATGTAGCTGACCTATATACAATGATTCCACAAGTTGAAGGAGTACTTACGTTAAAAAAGATGCTCGACTTTCTACAGATAAAACAAATTAAAGATTTAAAGGTCGAAGCTATTATACGTTTAACCAGATTTGTTATGCAAAATAATTATTTTAAATATAATGGCCAATATTATCATCAAATAAGAGGTGGAGCTATGGGACCTCCACTTACATTAACCGTTGCTAATTGCTATATGTTTTTCTACGAACGTGATATCGTTCGACAAATTAGCAATAGTGGTGGTCTTTATTTACGTTATATTGATGATTTATTTATTATTATTAATTGGCCTGTACGTCATTTTATGAAACAGATTGATCGATGGAATAAATTTGACGAAAATATTAAATTATCAGCTAATATCAACTCATATGCTGATTTTTTAGATGTACATATTGAAAATAGAGATGGTCAACTATTTACTACAGTTTATTACAAGCCATCCTATGAACCATATTCCCTCTAGTGAAAGGAGGGTCATACACCGCGCAAGGTTCGTATGTGGGTATGGGTGGGTGTGGATGTGGGTGTGGGTGTGGGTGTGGGTGTGGGTGTGGGTGTGGGTGTGGGTGTGGGTGTGGGGTGTGGGTGTGGGTGTGG